TCTCTCTCTCTCTCTCTCTCTCTCTCTCTCTCTCTCTCTCTCTCTCTCTCTCCCTCAACCACCATTGTCCATTCTCTGTTCCTTCTTCGATTTTGGGGAACACAAATTCGGTGTGTCTGAGATCTAGCAGGTTGGTGGTGCATTTTCCCCTGTCACACTCTCATCTCTACACCTCCCCACCCCAGGGGAACCCAGGTCCCTCCTGACTTGCACAAAGTAGAGAGCCAAGGAAATGCATGCTCCCCCTTCAAGAGGAGTGGTACCTGGAGCCCCAGAACAGAACGCAGCACTCCACTCCTTTATTCTTGGGTTCCCACAGCCGCCCTGCACTAGGCCAGCTGGCCTTTTTTCAGGAACAGCTCAAAGTCAAACTTAAACAGAATGTCCCTCTGGGGACATTCCCCTCCCAGACTGGTGATTATTTTGGGGACCGGATGTGAAGGTCCTCCAAGGGGAAAGGAGTCGTTTCTCAGAGTCCTGCCCTGCCCTGCTCCTACCATTCTCCAAGGGAAGCCTGGGGACTGGAAAATAGAAAGGGAGTTAGGGATCCTGAGGCCAGAGATTACTGATACTCTGAAAATCACAGTTAACCCTGGTGGATCCCGCAGAGACAGTGACTCCTACATCGATCTTGAAATCCTGCCTGGAGGGTCCTACTCTTCCCCGACTAGGGCTCACAGTCACCCTGTCCACACTGTGGTGCCAGCCCCCGGGCTTCTCAGGTAGCCTCGTTTTCTCATCAGTAGCCCCCTCTTTGCAGAGGGGATGACCGGAAGGGACAGACTGAATCACTATAAGGGCCAAGCTGGGAAAGGCCTGGAAACCGGATTCAGGGCTTCCGGAGAGCCCCAGGGTCCCGCCCGTGCCCGCCGCGGCGCTTGAGCATTTATGGTAATGTTTGAGCTGATGTGCGGCCGGATGCCCCGCCTCCCCCAGGCAGGAGTTGGGGAACAGCGAGCTCCCAGAGGAGCCCAGTGCTGATCCTTCCCGCTGTGGCCGAAGCTGGGTGCAAGCACGAGCGCAGGGCGCGGAGGTCAGGCAGGTGGGCTGGCCCGCGCCCGTAGGCCTCTCGGGTCCCAGGGACCAGAGGGCCAGACCTGGGGCTGGGAGCTGGGATGGGAGGGCTATGACCCTCTGACCACCGCTGCCCTCCCGTGGTGTTCCTGGTCCCCAGGAATAGTCCCCACGCACCCACATCCTCTTTCTGATGCTCTCCCCCACTCCCTGGCAGGGGAGGGGTGGGGAGGAGAGGCCAACAGCTCCCAGGGGAGTCCCGGGAATGCTGGGAGCCTGGGAACAGACCCTGCAGTGCCTGGGAAAGCCAGGCGGAGGGAATCCCACCACAGCCCCCTCCCCAGGAAGGTCCACTGGAGGCCCTTACCCTAGCTCGCCCACAGTGGGCTTTGTAAGAGTAGATCCCCACCCCCAGCGTCACCCTGGCCCAGCCCGACCTGACCTGGAGTTCACTAGGCCAGCTGGGCCGCCGCTGCCCCTCCCCCAAGCCGCGCCCCCCCTCCTGCTTTAACATAAGCCCGGCCTTTGTGCCACCACTCCCCGCTCCCCCTTCTCCAGACCCCTGCACAATGGGGCCTTTGCAGTCACCAGGGTGGGGATGAACTCACTCACGGTTTTTCCAAGTTTAAAAATAGCCCATCCCCCATAGCCGCCCTCCCCCCTCTCCCATGCTGTCGTGGGGCGCACCTCCTTCCTTCTGCCCTGAGTCAGGTGCAAGGACATGGGTGAGACTGTGTCAGGAGCCAAGAGCAGGGCAGCTTCCCCCCATTCAATCCCGTCCCCCACATCTTCCACCCAGCCCTCCAGTATCCGGTTTCCTGGCCCTGGGATGTTCTCGGCAGCAACTGCCCCCCACCCTCCTCCCACCCAGTTTTTCACTCCTCAGCAGTCAGACCCCCATTCTGGAAAAGCCTCCATAGCTTCCCTTCCGATGAGACCCAGGGTGGATCCTATTTTCTGGCCAGGCTAAGGGGCTGCCCAGACTCCATAGTTGCCGAGACTGCTGACCCCCACCCCCATCTTGTCCTCCTCGCAGCTGCAAACGTCTTTCTCAGCTTCCTTCCTTTTCCCAGGCCCAGCCCGCCCTCCCTACATCCTCGTGGCATGGCCCCTGCACCAGAAGGTGCCCTCTAAGAGCTGAGGGAAACTCCAGAGGTCAAATCTCAGCCCTGTCCTGTCCTTACACTACCAACTCTCCTCTTCCCCACCCATCCAGGGACCAGACCGGGTGCACACCCAGCCTCAGTTTCCCTGCCTGTGGCCAGACCTGCTAGAGACACAGGGCAGTCCACACAGGACGGTCTTCTTTAGCAGCCTGGGTCTCCAGTGTGGGTGGAAGAAAGCAGCAGTCTGCCCCCACCTCCGGAGGGAAATGAGGCAGAAGATTAGGACTCTGCCCCCAGAGGCCCGGTCTTCCGCCCTGGCCTACTCTGGGCCAGGCTGCTCCCACCAGGCCAGGTGCTTGAGTCTCTGCCAGGTGTCATCTCCATGCCCTGCAGTGAGCCTCAATGCCCACTTGCTGGGAGTTCTGCTGCTGCCACCTTCTCTTTCCCATTGCTGCCCCTGCAGCTGAAACCTCTGATGTCTGGGGAGGAGGAGAGGAAGATGGCCTCCACTTCTCACTCTGCCTTCACACCTGTCCTTCCCATTTCCAGTGGCCTCTGAATCCTCTCCAAGATCCTGACCTGCTTGGGATTGGAATCCCCCAGAGCCCCCTCCAGGAAACCAACCCTAACGCCTGGGTCCCCTGACCTCTCCCACCCACTCTATCCTAGCCCTAGGCTACTGGCTGTCTTAAAGAACAATCTCTGGGCTTGTTGACTGGGTCCAGCCAGGGAAGTGGCTGTCATCCTGACCTCTAATCTTATTTCCCTTTCACTGCAGAGGCTCCTCCAACCCCCACCTGGCTTTACTCTCCTAAGGCCGGAAGAAGAATTCAGAACCGACTGTCCTTGGTGGTTAGCTGACTTTGTTTTCGGGCCACCGGAGAAAAAATGATTAGTTAATGGTGTTAAGTGAAAAGAAGGGGGTGGGGTTTGGGAGTTGCTCCAAGCCCAGCTCCTGGCCTGTCTGCCCAGGCAAACAGCATCCTTCAGCCATTCTTGGTACTGCTCTGCAGACAAACATGCTCATCCATTCCAGTCCACTCGGGCTCTGGGCCTTGAGCCAAAGCCATACATTCCCCTTGGAGAGCCAGGAGCCAGGGTCCTCTAGCTCTCTCCCCTCAGGCTCCAGGGCCTGGCCTGGCCTGCTTGGCTCAGCCTCTGACTGGAGACTAATGGACAGGGAGGAGGGGTCAGAAGGCTGAAAGACGAGGCTGATGCACTTTGCCAGTCATCTCTGCGTCATCAGAGCATTCTCTCAGGTCACCCAGCCATCCCTGGCTTTGTGGCCTCACCCTGTTCCTCCCCCAGCTAGCAGCATGGCAGCTTGCTGGGTGACAGACCCCCTCCCCACCCTAAACCCAAGCCTTATCTGACCCTTCTTGGGGACTGATTCCAGCAGACAGGCCCCCTTTCACAAGCTAGGGTGCTGGGATCTCCTTTGTTGTATCCAGAGGCTGGAAGATCCAGAGAGAAGTTGGGGCTTGCCATCTTGCCTTGTGGCACAGCCAGCTCAGGCACAGATGCCGGCAGCAGCTGTTCTGACTCCACGCTGCCCTCCTCCACCTGCTCAGCTTCAGCCAATGGGGGTTCAGAAGGAGCTGGGAGACTACAGTGCTGCAGGCTGCTTTTTTTTTTTTTTTTTGAACCGGAGATTGAACTCAGGCCCTTGAGCTTGTCAGGCAAGTGCTTATTCTACTGAGCTATCTCCCCAGCCCCTGCAGGCTGCTTTTGTACATTGGGGTGAGCAAGGGACTTCTGGGGTGAAGCTAGGAACCCTGCATCCATAAACACCTTGTCTTTTCTTCATTGGGGTGAGGGAAAACTGAGTCACTAGCCAGGCTAAAGGAGTGAAGAGGGTGGGAACAAAATTCTCCCCTTTGGGCTTGGACAAGTGTGAATACCCTGGGCCTGTGAATCCTGCCCTCTCCCCCCTCTCTCTGGGCCAAGGCAGGCTTGCACAGTGCAGACAGCAGTCTCCACTCCCCCCTGTCAGGTACCTCTGGGTCTGTGGGACCTGGCGCTCGGGGCTTTTCCACAGCTGCCAGGACTGCGAGGAGGCTGGGGGCAGTGCCAGACCGGCAGCAGCCGCCGCAGTGGAGCACTCATTTTGGGAGGCGACCAAGGCCCGCCCCATTGCTCTGTAGTAGGGTTGAGGATCCTGAATGGGAAGCCCCCACCGGGACATCGTGGACTGGTCCGTTAAGCCTCCACCAGGGAGGTCCCCAAAGGCGACCGGACTAGCGGGACAAGTGGGGTGGGAAATGCTGTTGTGGCGACGCTGGGCATCCGGTCCAACTTGTCGCCGACGCCTTGGCGGGCCAGTCCGGCCAGGACACCTGTCACTGCACCCTCTGCCTTCCCAGGCGCTAACCTGGAAGGGCAGCTCCGGCCTGCTCCCGCCGCGTTCCGGAGCACAGCTCGGGCTGGCGCGGGACCCGCCCCTTAGGGCTGCAGCGCGTGGGGCGGGGGCAGGGGGCTGCTCTGGGCGGGGCGGGAGGCGCTGGGCCCCCGCCTCTGCCCCCCTGACGTCAGCCCCCGACAGCAGCGAGCTGCTCACTTGGCTGTCGCCCTCCGGTCGGGAAACATGGGGTTGCCCAGGCTGGTCTGCGCGCTCTTGCTTGCCTGGTGCTGCTGCGATCGCCGTGCTATGGGTGAGTTCTTGGGGTCCGACCCTCGCCCCGCAGCAGTCGCCAAGTGTGAGAGGAGCAGCGCGGCGGGGCCGGGGCTCAGCCCCCTGCCCGTGTCCTCGGTCCCCGGCGCCTTGCGCGCGTGCAACTCTTGCAGCTAGTTTGCTGCTCGAGTATCCCGGGGGTAGGACGGGGGAGGCGGGGAGGAGGCCACGACTGCTAGCGGGAAGAGGTGGAACGAGCCTTTCGGGATAGCGTCGCGGGAGGCTTCCTCGCAGGTACTCACCATGGGGGCCCGCAGTTGCTGCCGAACAGGGGTCGCAGCTAGGGCGCATCCCCGGGCCCCGGACCCGCGCCTGCCCGTTGCTGGAAAAGGCAACTTCCCTTGTTCGAGGGGTGCGCTGGCCCCTCCCCCCGTCCGGGCCGCGCGCCAGGCTGGAGGTGAGCGGGAGGCGGAGGGACCCGCGCTCCCTCCCGGTTGGGCGTTGGCGGCAGCTGCGGGCGGTGTGGGTCTCCCGGTGCCTCCCGGCACCTGGGGTGTGTGACAGAATCACAGGTGGTACAGATGAGAGATGGAGGGTTTCCAGAGTGAAAGCGCCTGCAGACTTATTCGGGGGACCACGGTCAGATGGAAGAACGCCAGGGCACCTCGGAGCTTAGGGCCCGCGGAGCTTAGGGCCCGCGGCGCGTTCCTCCTGGCTTCTTACCCAGTTCCAGGCGCTGTCAGGCTGGGGAGAGGGAGACTGGGCATTACCCACTTCCAGTGCTCAGCTCCAGCCAACCATGTCCCTGGGGTACTCCAGTGTCCTGCCTCCCCAGCTGACCTTATTTCCAGGGAAAGAGCTAAATCGGGTGCCATGCTGCACTAGGTCCAGCCCCAGCCTGCCTCCCGGCTGCAGGGAAAGTCAAGGATTCCGGGCCTCTGCTCTGGGTTGAAGACCTCTCCACCTGCCTTCCTGCCTGGGAGCCAGCCTGGGCAACCCAGGCATCTCAGGGTCCAGGCAGATGGTATTGAGTGACATCACCTCCTCACAGAGCTGGCAGCTTGCTGGCACCACTGATGTCATTCATGCCCACTGCCTAGCTGTGGCCCTGACCCCTGTGGAAGGCTCTGACCCCTCCGTACTACCAGACTCCAGTGTGTGGAATTTCCATTGAAATTATGAAAGTGAAGCTTCAGGCTGCAGTTGCCTACTGGGTCTTCCAGGGGATTTAGGGAGGAGACTTTGGGGACAGAGGGTAGAATAGTGACGTCTTCCCCTGGGGGTGGGACACAATGGGGCCTGTGTACCCAGCCTGGCCCATGCCTTGCATTCTCACACTCTGAGCTCACTTGGAGAGCAGGGGAGGGGCACAGGAGGAAAAGGGCCTTCCTTTTGGCCCTAGGCAGTGTTGCCCTTTGCCAGCGAGTGCCCAGTGCTCAGCCTCTGCCCCAAGGACCAAGGATCCCCTGCACTGGAGGGGATGGACAGTGATGTTGGGTGTTAGAACAGGGCAGGGCCCTCTCCAGACCTTCTTGGTGGGCCGAACATATGTGGCAAAGCGGTGTGAGGGGAAGGAACGCAGAGCACTTGGAGCTCACACAGCTGCTGGGGTCCCTCTCCTTTTCCCCAGGTGTGCCTGGAGAGGCAGAACAGCCCACCCCCGAGCTGGTGGAGGTGGAAGTGGGCAGCACAGCCCTTCTGAGGTGCTCCTTGGACTCCCCAGGCAACCTCAGCCATGTGGACTGGTTTGTTGTGAGTGTCAGGGCCTGGTGGAGGTGGAGACTCTGCCCCCAGGGGCCCCAGCACCCTCACCTCTCTGTCCCCTCCACCCAGGTCCACAAGGAGAAGCGAACACCCATTTTTCGTGTGCGCCAGGGCCAGGGCCAGAGTGAACCTGGCGAGTACCAGCACCGGCTCAGCCTCCAGGGCCCAGGGTCCACTCTGGCCCTGGCTCAAGTTGGCCCCCATGATGAGCGAGTCTTCCTGTGTCAGAGCAGGCGCCCTCGGGCCCAGGAGCACCACATCCAGCTCCGAGTCTACAGTTAGTGCCTTGCGCTGTTCATGCCTTTGGGGTGGTGTTGGTCAAGGAAGTGAGTCCCATGGCTCCTGCTCATTTTCCTTCCTGTGTAGAAGCCCCAGAGGAGCCAGTCATTCAGATCACCACCAATGGCATCTCCGTGAACAGCCAGGAGCCAGAGGAGGTGAGCTAGACCGGGGCAGCCCCCAGAAGCAGGAGCTGGGCTCTGGTGGGCTTGGCAGGCGTCAAGGCAGGATGCTCACTTACACCCTGTCCTTCTCAGGTGGCCACCTGTGTGGGGAAGAATGGTTACCCCCTCCCTCAGGTCGTCTGGTACAAGAACAGGCAGGCCCTGAAGGAGGAGAAGAACCGTGAGTGCTGGTGCCACATGAGCCATTTTGACCTTCCCTGTACTTTATTATTTTGCGGAACCAGGGTTTGAACTCAGGCCCTTGCACTGGCCAGGCAAGCACTTACTCTACAGAGCAATCTCTCCCACCTTCCCTGTACTTTATTTTTTATTTATTTATTTATTTATTTTTTTTGCGGAACCGGGATTGAACTCAGGCCCTTGCGCTTGCCAGGGAAGCCCTTATTCCACTGAGCCATCTCCCCAGCCCCTCCCTGTACTTTAAAGAGAAAGTGTGTCTGTGATGACTGCTAGTATTTTCATCAGAACTTCAATGCTGTGGGAAAGCTAGGGGTCCCTTTCTGCCCCATACCTTTCCCAGACATAGCTTTTGCTTTTTTTTTTTTTTTTTTTTTTTGTGGAACCAGGGATTGAACTCAGGCCCCTGCGCTTGCCAGGCAAACACTTATTCTACTTAGCCATCTCCCCAGCTCAGCCTTTGCTATTTTAATGGTTTTTTTAAAGGCCTATTTTTATGTATTTACTCACAAATACAAATTAATTTTCTTTTTTTTTCAGTACTGGGTAATGAACTCACAGCCTTCCTGCTGAGTTACAAGCCAGTCCCTTTTTGGCTTTCACACAGGGCCTCACTAAATCACCAAGTTACCCAGGCTGCCTCAGGCTCCTATTGTCCTGGGGTTATAAACATTGATGGCATGCCACTGTGTGCTTGTGTGTGCGCGCACATACATGCACGTGCATGCATGTATGTGTGTTTGGTGCTTAATGCACTTATTCATAAAATTTAAAAGCATACATGAAGTTGTTAAAATTGTACATGTATGGATGTTGGTACATGCCTTTGAGGTTATTTTTAAGGTTTTCTATACTTTTTATTTCTTAAAGTCAAAGAGCCAGGCATGGTGGTGCGCACCTGTAATCCCAGGATTCGGGAGGCTGAAGCAGGAGGATCACCTTGAGTTTGAGGCCAACCTGGGTTACATAGTGAGTTCAGGGCCAGCCTGAACTACATAGCAAGGTTCTGACTCAAAAAACAAAATCAGGGGCTGGGGAGATGGCTCAGTAGAATAAGCACTTGCTGGCAAGCACAAGGGCCTGAGTTCAATCCCCGGTTCCGAAAAAAAAAAGAAAAAGAAGTCAAAACTAGACAAAGGAAACTTTAAGAGTACATTCACACATTTCTGTTAGAAAAAACAATATTTGTAATTGTTACAAGAAAAGTATAGAAGATAATTTACTGAGGGGCCAGGGAGATAGCTCAGTAGAATAAGTGCTTGCCTGGCAAGTGCAAGGGCCTGAGTTCAATCCCCGGTTCTGCAAAAAAACCAAAAAACAAACAAACAAAAAACAGGACAACAGGTTAGGAGGACAGTTATAATAATTAATACATTGCATATTGTTGTTTTTGAGGATTAGCATTTTAAAGTCAAATTTGTCACTTTTCCAGTCCTATTCTATAATTCAAGGAACATCACTCTGTGCACATGCCTGTGTGTTTATGGTTTGTGTGTGTGTGTGTTTTGAGACAGCATCTTGCTTTTTTTTTTTTTGAGGAAACCAGGGATTGAACTCAGGCCCTTGTGCTTGGCAGGGAAGCGCTTATTCCACTGAGCCATCTCCCCAGCCCCAGCATCTTGCTTTGTAGTCCAGGCCAACTAGGACTAGCTGTGTACCCCAACCTGACTCCAAGCTTGTGATCCTCCTTTCTCAGCCTCCCGAGTGGCATACAGGTATTTCTAGAAGCACACATCAGTGGTGGTTTTGCACTGCCCCTGCCTGACACAGGGCCACCTGGCGGGCTGGAGGTCTTTCCGTTATCACAAGTCCAGGTGGTGCTCCTGGCACCGGTGGGGAAAGGGCCAGGGATGCAGCTAAACACCCTGCATTGCACAGGTCAGCCTCACCGCAAAGAATTAATTCTGGCCCAGAACATCAATAGTGCTGAGGTGGAGAAACCCTGATCTGAGTGGTGATGTGTGGTGTGTCCTGCTACGTGGCTTATTTTGTGTCATCTTTCCAGATCAGCCCATCAGGATGTGCCTACTCGCTTTGTCTGCTGCTCAGTTCTGCAGACTGTGTGCATTAGGGTGTAGTGTTGTGCACCATTGCTAGCGCTTCACATCTCAAATGCTTCTTATTTTTCTACTCACCTTGGCTATATGGACCAAGGAGATCAAATCCAGAACCTTGCACACACTAAACATATGCCGGAGCCGCCCCAGCCTCTCGTTTTACTCATGCTGGCCCTGCCGGCCCACTCCAGTATGTGTGCTGTGTGTCTGTATTTGTCTAGAGTAGAGAGGCTGGCGGTATAGCTCAGCAGACTAAGCACTTGCTTAGGTAAGTGCAGGGGCCAGGGTTCGATCCCTGGTGCCGCATGATGAGCCAGCTCCACCCCCGGGCATGCTAAGCCAGCGATGGAGTCCGGGCATGGTGGTGCATGCCTGCAATCCCAGCATGTGGGAGGCGGAAATCAAGAGGATCACAAGTCCAAGCTGTGTGGTGAGACCCTCCACCAAAAAACAAAACAAAACAAAAAACACACCTTAGAGTAGAACCAAAGTCAACTGTTACATTTGACCTTGGTCCCTTGTGGAGACCAGGGTCATTTCTTTTTTTGCATGGTATTGGGGATTGGACCTATGGTCTTCACACTGAGCTACGTATATCCTTAGTTCCTTTTCATTTTTACTTATTTTTCGTCTTTTTTAAAAATGCATTTGGTACAGGATCTTGCTGCACAGCTCGGACTCATAGTGATCCTCCTGTTTTCAGTCTCCCCAGCACTGGGATTACAGGTGTGCACCACCACACCTAGACTTGGTGGTTCAGTGCACCTGGGGTTGGGGCTGGTACAACACATGCTGGGGATTGAACCCAGGTCCCTGCCATTGCCTAAAGAGGCGCTTAGTCTGCTAAGCTATCTTGCTGGCCCTATTTTTTTTTTTGTCTTTTTGAGATGTTTCACTATGCAGTTCAAACTAGCTTTGTTTTTGGGTTTTTTTTTGTGGTACTGGGGGTTGAATTTAGGACCTTGAGCTTGTCAGGCAAGCGCTTATTCTACTGAGCTATCTCCCCAGACCCAAGCTAGCTTTGAACTCCCTTTGTGGCTCAGACTGGCCTCAAACTCACAGTGATCCTCCTGCCTCGGCCTCCCAAGTGCTGGGATCGCAGGCATACACCACCATACCCAGTTTTTTGGGTTTTTTTTTTTTTTTTTTTTTTTTGCGGAACCGGGGATTGAACTCAGACCCTTGCGCTTGCCAGGGAAGTGCTTATTCCACTGAGCCACCTCCCCAGTCCTCCCAGTTCACTTTTGAGACAGGGTTTCGTTAAGTCACTAAGTTGCCCAGGCTGGGCTCTAATGTGCAGCAGTCCTCCTGCCTCGGCCATGTAAAGTGCTGGGGTTACAGGTGGGCACTTTCATGCCTGTCTGAAAGTCAGGGGCCCGGAGATGGCCTCCTGCCACCTTCCTAGAGATCACAGCCTGAGGCCCAGGCCAAGCATTGCTCCTTCTCTGTCAGGCATCCACATTCAGTCATCACAGACTGAGGAGTCCAGTGGCTTGTACACCTTGGAGAGCGTCCTGAAGGCACAGCTGGTTAAGGAAGACAAGGACGCCCAATTTTACTGTGAGCTCAGCTACCGGCTGCCCAGTGGGAACCACATGAAAGAATCTAGGGAAGTCACTGTCCCCGTTTTCTGTGAGTACTGACCTGGCCCTCCGCTTGCTGGGGTGGGCCTGGTCGGAATCCTGTAGGCCTCTGTCCATCCACCAGCGGCAGGCTATTTCCTGGGCTGAGAACACCCTCCTCTGTGCACACAGACCCCGCAGAAAGGTTGTGGCTGGAAGTGGAGCCTGTAGGAATGCTGAAGGAAGGGGACCGGGTGGAAATCAGGTGTCTGACTGACGGCAACCCTGCGCCCCACTTCACCATCAGCAAGAAGGTACGTTGGAGGCCTCCAGGTTGTGCACATGTGACGCAGGCGGGGCTGCAGGATAGTGGCTGGGGCCACTCTGCTTACCCTGCATCCTCTCCCAGGACCTGAGCACTGGGGAGATGGAGGAACAGGAAACCACCGACAATGGCATCCTGGTCCTGGATCCTGCTGAGAAGCAGCACAGCGGGGTCTACCAGTGTCATGGCCTGGACTTGGAAGACACAACATCACTGTCAAGTGACACCCAGAATCTTCTGGTGAACTGTGAGGGGCTGGGGGCCCAGGACAGGGGGACCTGGCTGGGTCAAGACAGAACAGGCCCCGCCCTTCCCAGGCTGACATTACTGCTGTGCCCCTAGATGTGTCGGATGTTCGAGTAACCCCCATAGCTCCCGAAAGCGAGGAAGGTGGCAGTCTCACGCTGACCTGTAAGGCGGAGAGTAACCAGCCCCTCACATTCCAGTGGCTGAGAGAAAAGGTACCCAGAGGAGTCTGCGACTGGGTGGCAGCAGCTTCTTCCTTCCCAGATTCTCTGACCCATTTGTCCCGCAGACAGGTCAGGTGCTGGAAGAGGGGCCTACGCTTGAGTTACTCGGCCTGAAACGGGAGGCAGAGGGTGGCTACCGCTGTGTGGCATCTGTGCCCAGCATACCTGGCCTGAACCGCACACAGCTAGTCTACGTGGCCATTTTTGGTAAGGCCCTCAGGGTAGAGACCACGACACCCCAAAATGGGTGGCTTTGAGCTGTTTAAGAACACAAAGCCACCTGCTGCCCTGGGAACTCCTGGGGAGGAGGAAGCTGACTAAGCAAGCATGCTTGCTTACTCCTCCTGACCTACCCAAGGTCCCCCCTGGATGGCGTTAAAGGAGAGGAGAGTGTGGGTGAGAGAGGACACAGTGCAGAATCTATCCTGTGAGGCATCTGGGCACCCTCAGCCCACCATCTCCTGGAATGTCAATGGCACAGTGGTGAGTAGTCCAGGCTCTGACTACCCCGTGCCCAGGCTTTGCACAGTGAATGCTGGAGGTCCTGCCTGCTGACCCTCCTGAGCACTCTCCTTCCTCGTAGGCAACTGAACAAGAGCAAAACCCACTGAGGGTACTGAGCACCCTGAGTGTCCTTGTGACCCCTGAGCTGCTGGAGACAGGTGTACAGTGCACAGCCTCCAACTTCCTGGGCAGAAACACCACCACCATCTTCCTGACACAGGGTGAGGGCTGCCTCCCTATAGCGGATCGCAGGGCACGCCCAGGCACGGGCAGTAACGTGAGCTTCTCCTAACTCCCCTCTGCCTCCCAGTCGGCTTAACCACCCTCACACCAGACTCCAGCACAGCCGCTGGCCCCAGCACCTCCACGGTCAGTCCTCATGCCAGAGCCAACAGCACCTCCACAGGTAAGCCAGGCCTGGCAAGAGAACAAGGCCGGTCCCCCTTTCTACCCCAGCCCCACAACAGGGAGCCCTGTGAGAGGTGAGTTGTGGCTCATCTTCTGTCATCCTGGGCTGGGTGGGGATACAGTGCGATGTGGTCACCCTTCCCAGGGCACACAGTGACTTCAAACATCTTTGTGCCATAGAGAAAAAGCTTCGGGAGCCAGAGAGCAAGGGGGTGGTCATCGTGGCTGTAATTGTGTGCATCCTGGTCCTGGCTGTCCTGGGCGCTGTACTCTATTTCTTCTACAAGAAGGGCAAGCTGCCCTGTGGGCGGTCAGGCAAACAAGAGATGTAAGCATGGGCCGAGCCCCTACAGCCTGCTGTCATTCCCTGCTGCCCAGCTTGCTGGCTGCCTCCTCGGAGACATTCCCCAGTATGCCCCAGCGCCCTCACCCCAAAGGAGCAGCTGTCGGCCCTGGGCCAGGGTGATCCCTGCTTCACCACCTGCTACCCAGCTGCCATCCGTCACATCTCCAAAATCACCCGCATCCCTCCCCGAGTTGGCCCCAGAGTGCCAAGAGTGCCGTCCACACAGCGCATTCCCAATGGGCCCTGTATTTCCCCTCCCCCAGTTGCCAACCTCTTGCCTCCCTCCTCCCAGCACGCTGCCCCCGTCTCGTAAGAGTGAATTGGTAGTTGAAGTTAAGTCAGATAAGCTCCCAGAAGAGATGGGCCTCCTACAGGGCAGCACCGGTGACAAGAGGGCTCCAGGAGACCAGGTAGGAGGCAGTTCCTGTGGCCAGTACCTGACACATCCCCAGGGATTGGGGGCGATGGGCGAGTGGTGCTCATTCCCTGAACACTAACTTCCGACCTTCCTTTCCTCCTCGTTGGAGCAGGAGCCAGCCCCTTTTGTCTTACTACTACTCACAGATGACAGGCGAGGCAGGGGCAGAGAGACCCCAGAGGAAGACAGCAAAGCCCCCTTCCATTACTTTTTTTTAAAATTATTTATTACATTTATTTAGTGTGTGTGTGTGTGTGTGTGTGTGTGTGTGTGGTCAGCTCAGCCCACCAGGGGGCGCGGCTGGCTGGCATGTGGTGCTGGGGGATCGAACCGTGATCCCTGTGCTTTGCCAAGCTTGTTCCAAGTAGGTGCTTTAGACCACAAGCCATCTCTCCAGCCCGCCATTACTTTTTTTTAAAACCACTCTGTGACTATGGCCACAGTCTCAAGTGTGGCTTCTTTCCCCAGTACCGAGGCTGAGTTGAGGCCCACCTGTCCTCCTCTGGTGCCCACACCCACCCCTGCTTCTTCCCTCCGGGCTGCTGCACAGAGTCCATCCATTTGCTTTCGCTTCAGTCCACACTCAGTGCTCACACTCTGCTCTCGTTCCCCTCTTACTCCTCCTCTCTTCCTTTTTTTTTAGGGAGAGAAATACATCGATCTGAGGCATTAGCCTGAATCCCATTCAGCTCCCACCTAGCCTGGAGTGTCTCAGGTTCCCAGCTCACTCTTCTCCCTAGCCAAAGCCCTCAGGGACCGCTGAGAAGACCCCCTGCTCCACCTGCCCTGTAGAGGGGTTCCGAGGCCCAGTGGGCTAGGACCACATCTGTCGTGGGAAGAACTTCACTTAGCCCTGGAGTGCACCTTTGCAAGACAGGGCCACTTACGTCATGCTCATGCCAAGAAGGGGCCCCAGTCTTCTGAGGGTGGGGAGGAGAGTTTCTTCGAGAAAGTGCTTTCTCCTTACAATAGCATGGTGATAGAACGGTCTTCTACCAGCAGTGGAGAGGGGTGGCTCCTCAGACTGGCTCCAGCAATTCAGCTGTGCCCGATGTGAGGACGCAGTAGGGTCTGGCACTTGATCCTTGTTAAGGCATCCTGGCTCTGGACAATGTCCAGCCATGTCCAGAATGCCCTGCAGAGTCTAGATGCCTTCCTGCTTACCTCTTTGGAGTTGCCTTTTTCTTTTTGAGACAGGGTCTACATAGCCCCAGGCTGGCCTCGAAATCTCCCAATCCTTCCACCTCAGGCTCCCAAGTGCTGGGGATACAAGCATGTGCCACCATACTCAACCTTGGGGTCACTTTTGTGATCTTTTCCTTGGGGCAGAAGCCAGGTACTGGTACCATTCCTTCATAGATCTGTCCCTGCTGGGCACCCTGCCCATGGAGGCCATTGAGTCTGAGGCCCCTGCTTTCTCGTGGCTTCTACACCCCTTCAGAGGGGGCGTATAAGACAAAGGTAGGAGCTGGGGACAATGACAAAGCCCTCTGTCCTCCATGGGTTGTGGTCTATAATTATATCATACCAGATTTCTACACACTGAGCTACCAACTCAGACCCTAAAGATCAATCAGAATGGTAGCCAGAGCTCTGGGGCTTGTCTGTGAGTACCCACACCCACGTGTGTATGTGTATATATACGTATGTATATGGTTTTGTGTGTAAATTTGCAGACAGTTTCCTTTTATATGTATGTATGTATATATATATATGAAAAATAAAGCTTAAATGTGCCAGGAATCTCAAACTGCTTCCTGTCATCATGGATACCAAAGGCACCTGAGGGGTTCTGATTAGCAGGTGTACCTCGAGGACTGAAGAACCTCCCAGTCAGCTGCAGGATCTAGGCTTCTGTTTCTCAGCTGCTCGGGGGGCCTGTGCCACCTTCCTACCCTCCTGTCGCTGAATGCCACCTCATGACACTAGTTCCTGCCCTGGCAACTGGTCCCAGAACTGCCTTGTGTAGTGCCACCTCCCATCCCTGAATGAGCAAGAATTCAGTCGACTACGATAAAAGAAACTTTTTTTAAAAATACTTTTTTTTTTTTACAGACATGGGTGCTTGAAAAAGCTCTTTAGTTAACTGTGTATGGAAATGAAAAAAATTAATAAATAACATTAGTATAACAGACTTCTAACATTAATACATTGGCAAAACAAAATGAACTTGAAAATGAATCTTAAAGCTCTGCTATTCTCTGTAAGAATATTTACCTTCTGTTTTTCTTATTCTTTACAGGTGAGAATGATTAAATACTGCTAATATAAATTTTTTAAATTAATGACACATTTTTAAAATAGTCCTTGAAAAATCTCATCTAAGTGTTTTGTTTTCCTCTTAACACTGATATACAAATTGGGATTCTTCATTCTGGAGAAAACGTCAAGTCTTCCCCAGCCCCACCCAGGCCAAGAATTTCAAAATCTTGAATAAGGAGGACTATAAAAAGCACTGTTTCTATCTCCCAATTATTAGTTAAAAGCAGGGAAGAACAGAAGGTAAGAGATAAGTAAAATGTCGCTGTATTTAAAACATTTCCCCCCCCCTGAAACCACCAGTCACAACACCCACAGGATTCTGGTGTGTGCCTTGTTGCCCCTGCCCAGGGAAAATGAGACACTGTAGAGGGCATCGGCTGTTTAATGCTCTAAGTTTGAAGCCTTCAACTGAAAGGAGAGCAACTCTTAAGAGACAGGTCTGTGCTGGCTCAGGATCCAGCAAAAGGAAAGGACAACTGAGCCACCTTGGTGCTTCTCCAGCATCCGTCATTAACATGATTGGGGCAGGGTTAGTATACCTGGAAATTGTGGGACATTCTGTCTCCTACAAGGGACAAAATATCCAATCTGATAATTAAGCTCCTGAAAGGAACCAACCAGATGATCCCAGAGTTTAGGGGAAAGGGACCACAGACACACCACACATGTGCCACCTCTCATCTGCAGAGGAACTCCTTCCTGTCACCAACACTCTAGGGTTTGGATACTCAAGGTAGAGAAGCTCAGACTCTGGTGTTTCCATATTAAGTCCTAAAATGCAGCCTGGGATACAGTGCTGCCTTAGAAAGGCACAAAACATTTGGCTTTTTTTTCTTTCAGTGTGCTAAAAATTGTTTTGTTTTGAATAAAGGAAAAAAGATATATAAGGTTAAAAGTGCCAAGTCACAACAGCCAGAAGGCAGATGGAGGAGGTACCTCAAAGCTGCCAGGCCCTACCATATTTCAGCAGGAACTTTAGGCTTTTCTTCAAGGCCAAGACACTCAAATCGTGCCAAGCAGGGTAGGTCAGGAGGCACCCGTTCTCCCAGACGCTGTGCAGGCTCAATCATCACAGAATCCATGAGTAAGAACGCATGCTGTGTGGACGCCTCAGTAGTTCTCGGCCTCTTAAGCTTCAAGACAGCCACAAGCACAGCTACCCTCACCTAGCATGGGGTGAGAGGCAGGGAGGAGGAAAGCAACACACAGGCACCCCCCCCCCCACCTCAGGGCCTGCACCGAGCAGCAGTACAAGGCCCAAGGAACTGTACTGCACACAGCCTTGTGGCCTCTGGCCCCCGGGCAGGAAGAAAGTATGGCCAGTCCACGTGGAGGGCCACCTCTCACATTCATTTTTGGGACTGAATCAGGAATACAGGATCAGGTGATCAGAACTGTGCTGATCTTTTCAGCTGCCAGGTCAGTACAAAGGGAGTGGTAAGCCACATTTTTGTCAAGCACTATACTCAAGAAAGGGCAGCAACAGCTCCAAACAGCTGCTGTTCTGTTAGCCAACAGCTGGCCCTTCCGTCTGACCTGGAATGTATGCACAGAGCTGGTGCTCCTTGCCCTATTTCCCCATCTCTTACTCTTGCACTACTTTCTGGAACCAAGAACTACTGGCACCCCCTACAGTTACTGTAGATTTCCTGGGACGCTGTGAAGGCACAAGGCACTACTGCCCCTCTGCTCCTTCACTCAGGTGCCTACACTAGACCGTAACAGGAACATCCTGATGCCTTGCCCTACGTGCCTCAATGTCTATCTTTGGATTCTTAGGTTACTTCTGTGTTTATCAAATGACTCTAGCAGTTTAAAAAGTTACAAGCAAGACAGTATGAAATGTCCTACAACTCAGGACAGGCCTTAGGATAGGAAAACTAAGACCCAAAGACCCAGACAAGCAGCAGTATAGCTTTAAAAAACAAACAAAAAAGCTCTAACAAGAGGGCCAAAACAAAAGGAGACAGGAGACAGGCTGCCTATGTAAAGATGTGCAGTCATGTTGGGCACAGTAGCATGCATCTGCAGTCCTGGCTAAATGGGAGGCGGAGCAGGGAAGATGCGCAGTAAAGCTCTTTTCTACACGAGACTCTCTATACCCTGGCAACTGTCCCAACTCTTACCTATTTATTCTTACAGGCTCTCAAAAGCAGTCCCCAAGGCTTGGGCAGGCATACTTAAGAGACACTACTGCAGAGCTCTCTTGCAGAGGAGAACTAATAAGAAGAGTAATGAGGGCTGTAAGGGAGAGACCAGGAGAACAGGGCAGACAGATACTTAGCACTAAAACCGAAAAAGAGGCAGAAGTCCAAGGGTATGCTACAACCTTGATCTCTCTAAAACATAGGTAAGCTGAGACAGAGATGGAGACGGAGACTGGGAGTAGAGGCGCACACCTGTAATCCCAGCTCTTGGGAGGCTGAACACAGACAGATCACTACAAGTTCCATCTATGTAGTGAGACCCTGCACTAAAATACACACACACACACCACCACCACCACCACCACCACCACCACCACCACCACCAACAACAACAACAACAACAACAACAACAACAACAGGAAAGACTGCTAAAGACCTGAGGCAAAATGGAGACTAAGAAATGGCACCTGATATGAGGAGGAGGAAAATCTTGGATGCCAAAATTCACTAGGGAAAAACAAACAAGAGGGGGAAATCAAAAGGCAGTGACCAGGGACCGGGGAGATGGCTCAGTGGAATAAGCGCTTCGCTGGCAAGCGCAAGGGCCTGAGTTCAATCCCCAGTTCTGTGCAAAAAAAAAGCAGGGGGCAGTGACCAGAAGATGTTAAACTTAAGGATTTTCTTGATGACCCAGGCACATTCTCATGCCTGCCTTTCCATTCTCAAAGACAGGACAGCAGCAGCTTTATTTCCAGAGCCTGAGTCCTCTCAGCAGGTCTCCGGGTATACGGCCTCTTCTCTACAAGGCTCCCAGTTCCCACTGCAGGGCTGTGCTGGCGCCCAGGTCTGCCACACCTCCTCACTCTCCTTGAGAGGCCAAGTGGCCCGGGGGGGGGGGTTCCAATCAGTGTGTGGGCTGAGCGTATAAATTCTAAAAAATATGAAGTAAGAGGAACTGGGAATCTTGATGATCCCCCGAGCTGGAAGGCTGTGTAAACTTGGTCTATGTGGTGATCATGCCCGTGAACAGAAATAATGCAGGAGGGAAAACTGAAGGGCAAGGTTTTAGTCTCAGCAAAAAAATGCTGAAAAAAAAAAAAATAATAATAATAATAAATAAATAAAACCCCAACAATTGTACTTCCTGTTCTGGGTTCTATAATAGACCCTGCCCTCTTACAATGACTCCCTCTTTGTTTAGCTTGAATATTTTTTTGTATCCAAAGGATCTCTAACTAAGAGAGTTAAAAATAAAATCTTGATTGAGGAAAAAAAAATCTGGCTACTGAAGAAAGAAGGAACTACAAGCAAATGATTCAAGAAATGTAGAAAAGGCAGCTGCAAGCTGAGTCCATTTAAAGACCAGATTGTGTATCAAGCAAAAGATACTTAAGGTTATAAGGAGACAATCCAAGACAGGCCACCAGGGAGATGTGGGAGCAGATGCCAGGGCCAGAGCCAGGCAGAGAGCGCCCCCTAAGGACAGATTCAGGCCTGGTGCAGTACCCAACCGCAACTCATTTCCTACTGACGACAGAGAAAAGCAAAAGAAAGGTAACTGTAATGTGTGAAGAGGATCCTTGGTGATGGTCAAGAGGAAGTGATTAATGTGTCTTAACCTGTCCAAGCCTGCCTTCTTCTCCTTCTATTATAATGCTAACCCTAATAGTTTTCTGCAGTCAAAAAATGCCCTCAGGTCTGATCTGGTTCCAACATTAGCCCTCATCCATGTATTAAGTAGCTATGTGCATTCCCACGGAAAGAGAGCTAAAGGCTTGGCATAGTGGTGCCTGTCTGCAGCCCTAGCACCTTAAGACTGTACGTTTCAGCCCAGCCTGATGAATTCGGCAAGGCCCCGTCTCAAATGCAAAAGGCTGGAAATGCAGCTTAATGCAAAGGCCGTGGGTTCAACAACCAGTACTGCAACTATACGGTGGGGTGAACAGGGTACACAGGGGCAGGGCACCAGTGTAGACTGAGACAAAGTACTAACAGTAATTAATGCTTTATGCAGAGTTAAAAATACTTCCAATTGGATTTCAAAGCTTCAAGATCTAGGAGAATGATGATGTGCTGACAGGAAACTCGAGCATCTCTGAGCTCTCTGCTGTGGGAGGAAAGGCCAGAGAGTGAAAAATAAAGCAAACCCTTCCTGATAGGGTGTTAGGAACACAAGCACAAGAGTCCAAGTATCAAGGAAGGCACTGTATCAAAAAGGGAACTGCGGAGATACACTACACTGAAAAGCAGATAGCAGACAGATGCTTTGCTTAAGCATTTAATGCCCAACTGTGCAACTCTTAGCCTAAAATATCTCTCAACCCACTACTCAGATCCCACTGAAATACATCAGTTGTGTGTCCACGAAGCTTAGACCAAGGACTCTCCCAGACGTCAGCAAATCTGTAGAAGATAACAGGGTTAGGCAGAGCGTAGTGGCATATATGCCTGTAATCCCAGAACTCAGGAGGCTGAGGCAGGAGGATTACCACCAGTTTGAGACCAGCTTGGGCTTCATAGCAAGCTCAAGGCCACTCTGAAAGACATAGTACAGTAAGACCCTGCCTCAAAAACAAAAAAAGAAAAGAGGAGGAAGAGAAGGAAGAATGTTGAGAAGGAGGGCAGCAAGGCTTAATGTGAGTCTCAGAGCAATTTTTAGCATGACAGCTCTATGATAAGCAAGTCATAAAATGCTGTAAATAAAAATATACCATCTTATTGGGAAGAACTATTTATGGTCAAATGTAAGTTCCCCACAGTCTAAATACAATTCCTTGTGGTGGCATGGAAGGACAGATAGCTAACATTCTGGCACATGGTACTCAAACATCTGCTAAATGAAGAACAATCAAACTACTTTGGCTAAACCAATTGTCAGAATACTGTTACTCAGCAGACAGTGGTTGTTCATAGTCAGAAAGGCCAACAAGGGGCCAGTGAGATAGCTCGTGGAATAAAGCACCTGCTTAGGCAAGGGCAAGGACCAAGGTTCGATCCCTGGCATCACATGCCCCACCATCCCCGCCCCCAGGGTAGGCCAAGCCAGCCACAGAGTCCGGGCATGGTGGCCCACGTCTGTAATCTCAGCACTGGGGAGGCTGACAACAGGAGGATCACTATGAGTCTGAGCTGCATAGTGGACCCTGCAACAACCAATTTAAAAAAAAAAAAAAAAAGAAAAAAGAAAGAAAGAAAGAGAAAGAAAAAGGCCAACACGCAAGGAGGAAAGTTTGGGGAGATCAATAACCTTTTCTTCTTTTTTTTTTTTAAAATCTTTTCATTTTCATGATGTGAGGAAGGGGAATATTCTGCACTAGTACACTGCTGGCCACTTGCCTCAAAATCCAAGATTTTGTTAACTATACCTTAAAGGGAATAGGTAGCTAGTTCTTACTTTGCAAGCAAATTGTGTTGTAAAAATTGTTGTAAGCTTGCTCTTTTCACCATAAAACATTCTACTTTCCTGCACAGGAAGTACAAACATTTTAAGCATGAAGGGTAACAATCTTTTCCCACCCCCAACTTTTTTGTGGGGTTGGCTTGAGACAGGGTCTCCCTAAGTAGTGCAGGCCAGCACTGCACTTGCTTATGTAGGCTATACTGGCCCAGAACTCAAGATGGATCCTGAGCACTGAGATTATAGGCGTACACCAACAAGCCCAGTCCCCTACTTTTTAAATCTAAAATAATTCCTGAAGGCTATGAATAGTGCTATCCCACATCCTGAGCCATAGTAGCTGGTAAGAAGAAAAGAGAATGCAAGGGTGGCAGACTATGTACGGTGAGGCTGAGGAAACAGCGCTGGTGGAAGAGAAGGGCTAGCCCCAGTGAGAGACTGTTACTGTGAAATAATAGCACATAAATGCTGAGATGGTGAGCTGACCGATCTACCACTTAGCTAAAAGGAGGTACATTACAGGCCCCAAAGTTTTCCACTCTGAGAACTTCTGACTTGAGCAGGAGTGTGGAGGGGCAGCTGCAGAAGTGCAGTCCTGATTGCTGCAGGACAGCCAGCTAGCAATGAGGTGGCTATGCAAAGCAACACACAGAAGACTGAGAAAATGGGAAGTTGGGTTCATAAAAGTGCCTAATGAGTCTTTAAAAAAAGAAACATTAGAGTGGTTTTCTTGAACATATCAATCATTTGTAACTGGAAGGGGGAAAAGGACTGGGCTTGGATATAACTCAGCAGCGCAGTGCCTGCCTGGCAAGCACAAAGTCCTGAGGCTGATTCTGGATTTTTTTTTTGAAAACTGGGCTTACCAAAAAATGACAATCTCAAAGCCTGTGTCTGAATGGCAATTTTAGTAAATTCAGAGCAAGAGCCAAAGAATTAAAAATTGGAATATAAGTCCAGCACAGGGCAGGGGAGATGGCTCAGTAGAATAAGTGCTTGCCTGGCAAGCACAAGGGCCTGAGTTCAATCCCCGGTTACACACACACACACACAAAGTCCAGCACAGCACCACAAATCTGTAATATCATCTTAGCATTCTATGAGGCTGAGGCAGGATGACTGCAAGTTCAAGGCAGCCATGCAAAGGGCCTGGGCTCAATCCCCAGTAATACTCCCCCCAAATCCCTGGAAGATGAAGAATAGATGCCTTAAAGGAAAAGAGTTTCATATTTTGAGACTATCTTCTAAACAAGAACTGTGTGACAACATTCCTAAGGCTGTCAATTTTCAGCCCAGACCCTGGCATGTTCTCCACGTGCCAGTCAGAGGAATGAGCATGGTACAATGGTCCAAAACCTTCAACACCTGCAGATATCCACCTGACAAACCACTACCCAAGTCCATCAGTGTGCATGCTCAATACAGTGGCCTAGGCTGTCAGTCTCAGGGCTGACCGAAGAGCCACACAGATGCTCAGGAGGAGAAGGAGAAACCATTCAGCATGGCCAGTATGGACAATAATCTCATGGAAGATGGAGATGCACTGAACAAGCTTAAGAGATGCAGCCAGAACTTTGTTTTCTTGATAGATCTTCAAACTGCAGGTAATATCTAGAGAGAAAAATACTATAATCTGGATAGCTCTGGAAACTGCTGGTATTTTTTTATTTTCTAGTTCATTGTCTAGACCTTCAATATCAAAGCAAAATGCCACCAGCTTCTAGAAATGGATGTTATGCTGCTTTTTTACTGGCTGCCACTTTCCCTGCCCTCAATCCCAGTGCAGGACCTCCTGCACCCAGGGGGAGCTCCACTGTTTCCTCTCCTGTGGAGAAGACAGAAGATGACTCTAGGTAACCACAGCAAGTCATCACACGGCTCTGTATTGTCTGCTCTGGGAATATAAATAGCTTGAGTCAAGAGGATAAAACACAAAGACTGTGGAGCAGATGGACTTATGAGAAGACTCAAAGCTGGCTTCAGGAAAGTCATTTTTGTTTGGACCAGGTCCTGAGGAAGATGATTGCTCAGATATCAGGCTTGCTTCTGATGAGCAGAAGGGATGCACACTACTTTAGAAGACCCCAGACAGTGAACGAACTTAAATCTAGGGGGTGCTGGGCTACAGATCTGACAAGTGGATCTCCCAACTGGATTCTGAATCTTCTTCATGAACTCACAATTTCACAAACTGCTGGCCTTTTCCCATATTGTCTTGGACTAGAGTAATTTATTTCGATGAGCAAAAACCAGTGTACATGGAACATAAGGGATGAGAAAGGGGCAAGAAATGGAGGAAAGTGACATTCCATTCCCCAAGCCCTAGGCACAAGAGAAAACCAAGTCACTGGGCAGCACCAATATAGAAAAGGTGCTAATAATCAGCAAAATGCTGTGCTACCATGTGACAAACCCATTCTTTAAAGGACAAATAAAGTCATTTCTGAAAATCTTATCTGGCTCATGTTCAAAATGAGATACCCATACAAGCTGAAACTGATTAACTGGAAAGAAGAGCTGAACACATAATCCTGTCTATTCTGTGCATCTAAATAGCATACAAATGAAATTTCCTAAAAGCTTCATGGTGTTTGGGCCAGAAAGTCATCCTGGAAACATGTTCATCTCTTCCGTTAAGTAGAAAGACTCATGACCTATACCAGACCACTTGCCTGGCATCAAGGCAACAGACTCCCACAGAGCAATTACTGTGGAGGACATGGAATGTATTTGAAGGCCTCTATCTCAAATCAGTCATTATATAATTAGGATAATTCTATTATCTTATTTCAACAAATTCAATGTTCCATTAGAAACAACACTTTGGAGTGACCAGTATTAGCTGCTAGTATCAAACATGACCACAATGACACAGCAACAGTACTTTCTCTCTTACCTATCTCTACCAAACAAACCAATACCATCACACATAATATAGAACATCCCATAAGGGCGTGGCTTCGGGAAGGCTGGTCACAGCAAGCCCACTGCCAATGACAGAATACTGAGGGTGTCCGAGAGGGTAAAGAACACAGTGTTCTAAAAAATACAAGACTTTAGCTATGCACATGACAATCTAAGCCAAAGAGGAGTGCTCAAGTTGTAATACACACTTGGGTCGGGTGGAATACCACAGTAGATGGAAGTCTTTAAAAGATTCCTTCCTGAACCTCTTGTGTTAATTCCCCACTTGGGATTAACACACACAGCAGGATAATCTTATCACAGGACACACAAACACAGACAGACATGAACACAACCTTAACCAAGGAAAGTCTTAAGTCCTCAATTAGGGTTTACAGCACAATACTTATTCTACTGCTTTCTGGACAGTTCCCCAGCAAGGCTACCATGTAATAAAAATCCATACTGTCTCCAAGCAGGGACTGAAGGACTCCTTCAAGAACAATACAATAACAAAACACACGAGCTGCTCCATTTTCATTCCACTGCTTTGAAATCTTGGGACCATGGTATAATACTCACAGAGAGGGCAGGACCTCACCGTGAAGTCCCCAGAGGAGCCTGTGCCCTCCAAGGTGCTCCTCAAGAGCCCCACTCTTGGATCCTCACAGCTGTGGCTGGGAGGAATGTGCTAGGTGGCCACGTGAGCAGGGGATGAAATAGTAACGAACTCTCGGAGGATGTTTTTGGCCATCTCGATGTTGTTGTGAGCAATGACCAAAGCTTTCTGAATGTCCTGGTAGGAGTAGCCCTGGCTCATGAGGTTCTCAATCTCACTGGAGAGCTGTGGTGATGGGGTTGCAGCAGGGGTGGCCCTGGCAGCACCACCACCTTGCTGACAGCTACCCGCTTTCCGTTCAGAGTTGATTCTCCGAGGGAATGGTTTCGGGGGCCGTTCAGGAACTTGAGAACCATCAGTGAAATCTACAAGAAATAGCAAAGAAAATATTAGGGGAAATCTTCATTTAGTGGCACTAATAAAAGTAATAACAATGTGTTAGCACCAATACATGATTGATCTATCAACTGGGGACCTATGCTTTTCTGTCCCAGCCTGGGTTCCAGAGGTACAAGGGCTTGTGGATCTAGCTTCCTATTTATCACAGTAGGAGCCAGCAGTCCAGGTCCAGGCTGGCTCCATGCCCACTCCACATGCATCCCAGGACAGCCTGCATCTTTTCCAGTGGGACAGAGTAAGAAGAAAATTTTAGAGTCTGAGCCATGATCTTAATTACCAGTATCTTAAGGCATATTCAGAAGACACAAAACCCTATCTACCCAGCATTTCTAAGTCTGAAGAGTTTGAGCAGCTTGATTTCATAATGTGGAACTTAGGAGCAGCTTTCCTCCCATTTAAAAATGTTAGTCTTAACTTTTACCACCACCGTCACCTCTTTCAGTATAAATTAAGATCAGACAGCATTGGGGTCAAGCACAATGCAGCCTCTAGACTCACTTGTTGAGGGATCACCATCCAGAGACAACCAGCCAAAGGAAGAGCTGGCATTGGAGATATCAGAGAGAGTTCGGCGGGCTAGGACAGCTGGGACTGGAGGCTTAGGGACATCATAGCCATCATCATCATTTTCTGATTCCTCAGGGCCAGTGTTTGTGAGAGCTGCAGCTAAGCTGCCTTCACCTGGAGAAACGGCAGCATGTCAGCCTCTTTTCTGGCCATGCCTCATCTATATCTACTAACACCCTTCAGCATCCAGGGGCACCCATTCACTCATGCATGTACACAACCACTTATGTACTCCAGTCTACACTTACTCAGTGTCTACGAGAGGCCAAATACCATGTGAGGCCTTGTGGGTGGAAATAAAAGAAACAGAAAAGAGTATTCATGCCAAATCTGCAGCTCTGTTGTGGAATGTGTCAGAGGTTATGCTTGCCAAGGTTAATAGCCACCTCTTTGGGGCAAAGATTCGAGTGCTATTTGATGGCACTTGTGACTATGTTTCACTTCAGATCAGCCCAGGGACTCAAGTGTGTGCGGGCTCCCTAAACTTTCAACTCAGGAAGCTTGTCATCATGGGAACTGAGTATGTTCCACCCACACAGACAAGAATTTCACCAATGCAATGGGAATGAAAAAGAGAGCTCCCAGGACTGCACGTCCAGGCCATGTAACATAAATGTCTCCAGGCCTGGGAAGGCAAAAAAGGAACTAGCTGCATGAAAAGGAAATAAAGGGGGGAGGGGCCAGCCTGCCCATGAATTAAAGGTATTTTATCAAAGATTACTGACAATTCTCTTCTTTGGCTAAACTATCACAGTAGCCAAATATTTCAGGCTTATTCCTATGACACATCAACAATTTTTTTTTTTTTTTTTGCGGAACCGGGGATTGAACTTGCCAGGGAAGAGCTTATTCCACTGAGCCATCTCCCCGGCCCACATCAACAACTTTTTAAACAACCAAGAGAGCTACTCACCAAAGGTGCTGTTCTCTGTGACAGCTGGTGTCTGGGACTGAATATTATACATTGCTTCATATGTACAACTATCAATCTGCTGGTCACAATCACCCGCGCTGAACCAGAAGGAAAGCAACACAACGATCTTTAGAAACAGAACTGTCACCTTTGAACTTACTAAAGCTTATCTGCTCACAACTATGCTAGATCCTGATGCTCTGAGGAACACATTCTTCTTGGGCCACTATCACCAATAAATGTTGTAAGACTGCCTCTTGTGACAAGTTATGTGTACATGTACTATGATGGTCACTGTGATGGTGAGAAAACATGAGCAAAATTTCTTACAAGAGATTTAAGCATCGGGGACTAGACATATCTTTCTACTTTAATTCTGGCTACATAACAGTGTGTGCAAGCAGCAAGCCAAACAGGTGGCAGATATCAACTGAACACGCCTGGAAAGGCATGTGGCCCCAAGCTGGGCTGTTGTGAACCTACCATGAACTCTGGGCTGTCTCTGAAGGTCGTTTCAACTCTGGCTTTTGAAGCCCTATTGGCCTAGAAGAGGGAGTCATGTATTCTGTGTCCTCCTCACTCTCACCCGGCTCTCCAGGTGGCAGTTTTGGCACTGGAAGGGGTCTGAAAAATGAGGAATAAAAAATAGAAAGAAACAGGCAACTTCAAAACAGACACAATTCAAATTCAGCACAGCAAAACACATACCTCCTAGGAACTATTACCTATTTCTATTAACCAAGAAAGGTAACTAAAAAAAGCCACATCAACTAAAATCCCACTTTCAGCTAATCAAACGTATGATAATTTATGCTTGAAATGTGTTGCCCTGGGGTCAGAACCTGATGCCACCCGGTCCCAACCTCCAAGTCAGTTTCATCACAGGTCCCAATTTAAGAGCTGATATCTCAGTTTGTCTATCATTAGGTTTGAAGGAGAAACAGCAGCTAGCTTTCTGATAGTACACAAAGACTACAGACCAAATACTATTACAAAATCTACCTATGGTTTCAAAGAACAAGTGGCTGGCAAGTTAGCTCAGTGGTTTAAGCACCTGTGTAGGCAAGCACAGGGACTGGGGTTCAATCCCTGGCACCACATGGCGTGCTGGCCCTGCCCCTGGCACTGAGCCAGCCACAGAGACCAGGTATGGTGGTGCATGTCTGTGATTCCAATGCTAGGCAAGCTGAGATGGGAGGATCACTACGAGCCCAAGCTGCATAGTGAGGCCCTGTACCAAATACATTAAAAAAACAAGAAACTAACAGGATCAAAGACCATATAATTGTCAAAACCTTTCTTGTACATTTTTTTAAAATTAATTTTATTTATTTATTTATGTGCGTGTGTGTGGCCAGCTCAGCCCACCAGGGGGCGGGGCTGGCTGGCATGTGGTGCTGGGGGATTGAACCGCGGTCCGTGTGCTTTGCTAAGCTTGTTCTAAGTAGGTGCTTTAGACCACTGAGCCATCTCACCAGCCCCATCGTACATTCTTATTAAAGTATAAAATACTTCTTTCCTTAATATTTTTTACAAGAAAAATCTAAAATAAAAATAGTAATTTTTGTAAACAGGTGGATCACCATGAGTCCAATCTAATAATGAGATCCTGAACACCCTGTGGACCGTTCCCAGTTCAATCCCCGGTTCTGAAAAAAAACCAAAACAAAACAAGACCCTTCCCTAAAATACAAAAAAGAAGTAATTTTCTTTGTAATACTTCTGGGGACCGGGGAGATGGCTCAGTAGAATAAGCGCTTCCTTGGCAAGCGCAAGGGTCTGAGTTTAATCCCCAGTTCCGCAGAAAACAAACAAACAAACAAGAAACAACTTCTGAAACTAGAGCCCAGCATTCAAACTCCTGCTGCAGGTTATTTTTTTGTTCCACCATGTTGGGGACCTAACCTGGGTGCATGCCAGACAAGCACTATACAACATGTTAGGGATGTCTTCAGCCCTGTCCTTTGAAAGCTTCTGAAACAATACTTCTCCCACCTGCCCTATAAAGGAGACCATATATCAATGAATTGTAAAAGAAACACACACAGATTGTTTTCTGGATGTGAATTTCTGAGAGTTTCGCCTCCTTTCTTCTTACTGCCTCTCTGCATTTACTTATGTTTTGTTTTCTTAAGTATAAAAGCAATGCATGCTTAGTATAAAGCTGTTGCAGAAACTCAACAGAGAACACAGCAGTCCTCTGTAGCTCCCTTGAGTTTACTTCTCATGACTTTTCTTTCTGTGAGGTGGAGCTTTTGCTATGTGCCCAAGCTAGCCTTAAATCCCTAGGTTCAACCAACCCTCTCACCTTAGCCTCCTAAGTAGGTAGGACTAGTGCCCAGCTTAGACAGTACAGTCAGTACTGAAAAGCTGCTTATGTCTAGGCAAATACTCATTTAAGATTTATGCAATGCATGCTGAAACTATGAGGTAGAAATGTAGTATCTCACAGATGATTTGCTTTGAAATATATCAAACAAGCAAGACAAACTGATAAAATGGAAATACAGGCAGTATCTGATAAAACAGTATAACAAAATACTAATAGTGGAATCCATAGGATGAGTACACAAGTGTTCAACTTTATGTCTGTAATTTTCAGAGGAAAACAATTCAAATTAAGCAAAAACACCAAGTATCAGTAAAGATTCTTTCTTTGTTTTTTTTCTTTCTTTAATGTATTTGGTATAGGTCTCAGTACATAGCTCAGACTCTGTTGTTAGCCTCCCCAGCACTAGGATTACAGGCGTGTGTCACCACGCCAGGTCTTGGTGGCCGGCTCAGCATGCCCAGGGGCAGGGCCGGAACATCAAATCCAAACCCTGTCCCAGCCCTTGGCTAAGCAGGCGCTTAGTCCACTGAACTATCACTGGTCCTAAGGTACTTTTTTTTTTTTTTTGTGGAACCGGGGATTGAACTCAGGCCCCTGCATTTGCCAGGCAAGCAATTATTCTACTGAGCTATCTCCCCCGCCCTCCTAAGATACTTCCTTAGATAGATGCAGAAATAAAACGTGTGTTCAGCTCTTTGGAGTGTTAATTCAAATTCTGTTTCTAAGAATTTGCCCTAGGGAAACAATCAAGGATAGTCACTATAGCATTATTTATAATACTGAAAAAAATAACCTATAATATCAAACAACAATGTACTAGCTAAGTTTTTTTTTTTTTTTGTTGAGACAGGTTCTTGGTACAGGCTGGCCTTGAAGTCAGGGTACTTACTCTTCCTGCCTCAGCCTTCCAAGAGCTTGGATTACAGGTGTGCACCACCATGCCCAGCTTGGAACAGTATTTTTACAATGTTCAGAGAAACCAATATCTACACATGAGGTATTCAGTAAAAACATCTTTTTTGTTTGTTTTTCAAGGTAGCTCAAGGGATCGAGCTCCTTGAGCTTGTCAGGCAGGTGTTTATGCCACTGAGATATATTCTCAGCCCCAGTAAAAAACATCTTTTTTAAAACATGTGAGTGGGCTGGGGAGACAGCTCAGCAGAATAAGCGCTTTCCTGGCAAACACAGGTCCTGAGTTCAATCCCCAGTACCACAAAAATAAATAAATAAATAAAAGCATGTAATGAGGCTACGTATAGTGGTGCTTGCCTGTAATTAAAATACTTAGGAGGCTGAGTAGAAGGGTAGAAAGTTGGTGATAAAGCAAGTTCAAAGCCAGCCTGGTATACATAGTAAGACCCTGTCTCACTGGTGTAATGGCATAGGCCTATAATCCTAGTACTCAGGAGGCTGGGTAGCAGGATCACCATGAATTCAAAGCCAGCCTGGGCTACATAGTTAGATCAAGGTCAGCTTGAACTACATAGGAGACTCTTTCTCAAATATCCAACCAAAAAAGAAAAACATCAATCTATCAATAAAGATAAAGTATACTATAACCAAGGATGTACACTGGAATTTCTAGGATACTGCCAAAAGAACAGAAAGGATGACAGGTATAACAGAAATACTTCAATTCAAAAACAGTGTAGCCAGATAGCTCAGCAGACTAACGCATCTGCTTAAGCAGGCGCAGGGACCAGTGTTCAGACCCCAGGGTGCTGGCTCTACCCCCTGGGGTGTGCAGAGATGGTGACTGAGACTGGGCATGGAGGGACACACGCCTGTAATCCCAGTTCTGTGAGGCTGAAAACAGGAGGATCACTATGAGTCCAATCTGTGTAGTGAGACCCTGTACTAAATACATTTTTAAAAAAGGTGTAAAAACAGAAAAAAATGAACCCAGAAAAGATTGGGAAAAAATGGGGAAAAGAGTGGGACAAATGATTCAATTTCTTCAAGATAAAGAATGCCAGATTGGATTTATAAGGCAAAATCTCTTCCAGGTACAAGCTGCTTATAAGAGATATGCCTTCAGTATGTGGACAGAGAAAAGTTGAAAGTAGCCATTTTAATATAAGAGCAAGCAGACAAGGTAAACAAGAAGTAGAACTCTAGGGCCAGGGACACAGCTCAGAGGCACAGCAGCTGCCGGGCAAGTGCGAGGCCCTGAATCCAATTCCCAGTAACATCTCCCCCAAAGAAGTAGAACTACAGCGTATATCTCATGACAACACAAAAGCATACAATTAACTTAGTATCAATAATTTAGATTTTTATTATCTTAACTATACAGGATAAATATACATAGAAGAGAAAGTATAGAATTAAAAAGAGAAACTCAGAGCAGAACTTGACACAGTTCTCTCAGTTCTCTGATAGAACAGGTAAGTTTTTAAAAATTTGAGACAATGGGGGCCAGGGAGATAGCTCAGTAGATTAAGCGCTTGCCTGGCAAGTGCAAGGGCCTGAGTTCAATCCCTGGTTCCACAAATAAATAAATAAATAAAATTATGGGGGAAAAAAAGAAAATTAAAAAAAAATTGAGACAGAAGATATGAACCAAATGATAAATCTGACATCACTGATATATATATAGTATGCAAGCGCAACTGCAGGACACATTATCCACCCCCATCCCAACTTCGTTTTTTGAGACAGGATCTTGCTATGTAGTACCAGCTGGCCTTGAACTCATGGTAATCCTCCTGCCTCAGCCTCTTAAGTGCTGGGATTACAGATGTGTCTCACTGCACCTGACCAGAACACATATTTTTATGAGATGAACATACTACATATTACTGGATTTTACCATAAACTTGTGAATAAAAAATATTTTATTTTGCAGTGGTGCAATCTAGGTGACTGAGGCAGAAAAACAGAACGTTTGAGTCCAGCCTCGGCAACTTTGTGACTTCACAAGACCCTGTTTCAAACTGAAAGTGAGGGGAGTAAGCTAGGGATGTAGCTCAGTGCAAAGGCCCTGGGTTCAATCCCAAGTGCAAGAAAACAACAACGAACAAAAATAATTCAATGAAGCCAGAAAGTGGTCATAGGATAACCAGAAAAATCTTCAAATGTCTGAATCAGGCACTTCATAAATAACTCATCAAATAAATCATAAATAAAAAAGAACACAGTTTAAGTAAATGATAACGAAAATATGACATATCAAAAATTTTCAATGCAGCTATGTACCTGTTATGGACTGGTATTTGTGTACCCCTGAAATCCTATGCTGAAGCTCTAATCCCCAGCTTAGTTATATTTGGAGCTAGAACCACGCATAGGAGATATTAGGCTAAGGCTGGATGGGGCCACAGGGTGACATCCTGACAGGACAGGACTCGTGTCCTTATAAGAATAGAGCTGGAGTGCGCTCTCATTCTCCTGCACACACAGTCACCAGAAGCAGCTACCCAAACGCCAGGAAAAGGGCCTAGAAGCTGGCCTTGCTGGCACCCTGCTCTCAGACTTCTGGCCTCTACACTGTGAAGAATCAATTACCCCCAGTGTGTGGTGGTCTGGTATGGCAGGTAAAGTACACTGAGAGACCGTCCATCTTATGATACTAGAAAAATAGCAAATTAAATCTAAACAAAGCTGGAAGAGTAAGAAGAGATAGCAATTAAACAGAAAGCAAATACCCAGGAAGAATAAAAATCACAAAGCGAAAATTACTTTTTTGGGATTAATAAACTTGACAAGTTCCAACAAGAGTGATTTATATACATGTAGAGAGACAAGAACAGAAGGAAAGCCTTCAAAATATAAAACACCTCCTACACGGTGCAACACAGATCAACCTTTATTGTCTTCTTTATACTTTTCTTAGTTTCCTATATTGTCTATAAATCAAGTACTTAGAAGTACCAACTTCAGTAATGAAACACAACTTTAATGAACTTACCTGGCAGCCAGAGAATAAATGGCACCGGCAGATGAAGAAGGTTTGATTTTGGGGTGCTCGCACTCTGGACCTGCTAATGGACTGTTACTCATATTCTGGAAAGGAAAGGAAAGACGAGTGTTGAACAGAGCCCACCACTTAGGAGGCTGAGGCAGGAGGATTACCATGAGTTCAAGGCCAGCTGGTACTACATAGCAAGGTCCTGTCCATGGCTCCTCTTAAGCGAGTCAAAACCAAAAAAATACTGGCACTGACACAGACCTCACTCAGTGCTACCCCCAAGCTATCACAACTGACAAAAGCACTGCTGCTTCCAGGCTCTGAAAAATTTTTAAACTTAAGGTCTGGAAGACAGAGATCTAGAAAGAGCCAAGGAAATGGGGCCTTTTGTTTAAATACTGGAGAACTCTGAGCAAATTAGTTATTTACACAAATATCATTTATAGCTTAAATAATCTATACTCAAAATGGTAGCTACTATCACCAAAAAGTCAGCCACACTTTGCCACTCACTCATTCGACTGCTTAGCCACATAGACACCACTTATATGGAAATATCCACCTGTGCCCTAACACTCAAGCTCACCCTTCCAATTCTACTTCTCCCTCAGATTTCCAACTGTTTGTCAATTCTGTCAAAGGTTTATTTCAAATTCAAATGTCCCTTGATAGCTAGATTCAAATGTTCAGAATATATGTATGGGTTTCTCACACCCTCCTCCCCACTGCTTTTAGGTCTTAAATCTGTTCTGTATTCTCTAAAAGCTCCACTTACCTAGCAGCCCACCTCTGCTGAGACAAGGCCTCTTCCTCTTGATTACATGGCACTAGCTATGCTACATCCCTCTGTTATTTCTCAAACTCTCCTAATCTCAGTTCCTTTTCCTCTACTTCAGATAAGCATGGTTCACTCTCCCTACTGTTTCTGGCCTTTACTCAGAGTTGTACCCCACATCTTCCTGTACTGCCCACCCTAACTCCAGCTCTCTTTAGTGCTTCTCCACAGCACTTGTCACTGAGAGGAATCTATGTATTGTACTAACTTGCTTACTTTCCATCATCCTCCTACTAAGAGTGTAAGCTTTATGAAGGCAAGAATTTTGTTATGTGCACAACTAAACTGACAAAAGGAGAAATCTTCTCCCATTCCCAGTCTTTTCCTGTCTTTTTTCAATCTATTTTTTACATTACTATTAAATTTTTTAATTCATTAACTGAAAACCTTCACTCACAATTTCCTACCAAATAAATTCAAATTTGGGGCTGAAGAGACAGCTTAGTGGTCTAAGCATCTGCCTAGCAAGCTCAAAGACCTGAGTTCAATCCTGGGTGTGCTGTGCTGGCCCCCAAACTGGGCATGGTAGCATGTGCCTATAATCCCAGTGCTGGGGAGGCTGAGACAGGAAGATCACTATGAGTCTGAACTGTGTAGCAAGACTCTGTACCAAATAAATAAAATAAATTCGCATTTGGAGGTGATAATCTAGTATGACTGATCCTTTCTTTTTTAGACAGGGTCTTGCTGTGCAGTTCAGGCTGGCCTTGAGCTCACTTTGTAGCCAGGCTGATCTCAAATTCACAATGATCCTCCTGCCTCAGTCTCCCAGAGCTGGGATTATAGGCATACACCCCTACACCCAGCATGACTGCTCCTTTCTTCTCCTCTGGTATAAAAAAAAAATTCCTTGCTCTACTCATCATTCCATAACACACCTTAGGGACTCTGTCAACATGGCTGTACTCTATCTTAAAACTGCATATGGACTGTAACACTCCCATGAGTTAGGCATGTAACAAGTATTTTGTGATCTTGGTTCCTATAATGGACAAAATCCTGGGGGCCGGGGAGATGGCTCAGTAAGATAAGTGCTTGACTGGCAAATGCAAGGATCTGAGTTCAATTCCCGGTTCTGAAAAATAAATAAATAAATAAATAAATAAACAAAATCCCTTGTATCTACTTTTCAAACAATTACTAAGATTCAGGTGCCTTTTTTCTTAGAACTCCTCACAACTGCTATAACTGCAATTCCTTTTTCCTTTTTTTTTTTTAATTAATTAATTTATTTATTTTGTGTGTGTGTGTGTGTGTGTGTGGCCAGCTCAGCCCACCAGGGGGCAGGGCCGGCTGGCATGTGGTGCTGGGGGATTGAACCGCGGTCCCGGTGCTTTGCATAGCTTAGTTTGTTCTAAGTAGGTGCTTTAGACCACTGAGCCATCTCACCAGCCCCTGCAATTCCTTTTTCTAAAACACAAAATTTCTACTTATATGACTTAAGGCACTTATACAGGACACTTACTGATATACAACTGCCTTATCTGTCCTGTTAACATACCTTTCCCCCCAGCATTTTGGATGGAATCTAGGGCCTTGTGCGTCTTATGCAAGCACTTTAAAACTGAGATAAAGATACATCCTCAGACTCACATATAGTCTTCTTGAGATCTGAAGATTCTGTTACTTACCTCTGAATTCTGTACAAAACTTGACCTGTAAAATGTCACCCACAAATGTGTTACTGGGCTAATTTCAAAATCAGAACTCACCATAGAGGTATCCAGACTGAATGTGCTTCCAAGCCTAGCCACATCTGCTCTCGGCTCCGTTTGTGAGAGCAATGAAAATGGAAGTGAGTGCCGATTGGTTAATTCTCTTCCAGTCCAGGGGTCACTGGAGCTTGGAGTAACTACTGGTACTTTGGGGATTGGCCGGGGCAACCATGAGTCTCCCAGGCGGCTAGAGGGTACAGGGGGCAATTTGTCTCTGGATGGACAATCGCCTGGTGTACAAGGCAGGGGGCGTCTCTGAGGTCGGGTTTCTGCTCCAATAGCATATGGCCGTTCTGGAGGGGGTGGAGGTGGAAGATCTCGAAGCGTAGGTGGTATTGGCAACGGTTTGTCTTTATGAAGGGAGGCAGAAGCAGCCTGTGAAAGATAAAGCCAATCTATCAAAACCCACTAATGTGTAACAAAGAAACACAAAACTGAAGAAATGGATAATAGTGTACCTTAGGGGCAGTTCCTAGACCAGAAGCACTTGGAGGAACAGACACACGCTGTTGCAGAAGGTCAAGCCGAGGTGGTACTGGAGGAAGGGAAGCTTGTGGGGCCATTGAGAATGGAGAAGGGGGTCGTTCCACCTAGCATCAACAAGTTTTAACTGGTTACTCTTGTTAAGAAACTGCTATCTTTCAGATCCTTTTAAGGCCAGGCCCAGCAAATACTATGTAAAACCTGAGCAGTATGTCAGATTTGGCAACTAAGGGCCACACAAAACTCTAAAATTTCTTCCAGAGTCTTTAAACTATTTTTATGTCACCATAAGAGGGCACTGTCAATTCCAGAAATATCAAGCAGATAGCAACTTTCAAGCAGATGTATCCAGACAGACAAGACTACAAAAAGCTCCCTAGCTTACAATTAAAAAAAGAAAAGAAAAAAGAAAGAAAACAACCTATTACCATTTTTAGTGTCTTCATCTTTGGAAAGAAAAAGATACTTTCTTTTTTTTAGAAAAAGATATTTTCAAGCTTAAAAAATAGAAACACAGGGCAGGCAAGATAAGCACAGCAGACTAAGGGTCTGCTTAGGCCAGCGCAGGGTCTAGGGTTTGATCTCCTGCACCGCATGCATGCCGGTCCTGCCCCCGGGTGTGCTGAGCCAGCCACGGAGACTGGGCGTGGTGGCGCACACCTGTAATCCCAGTGCTGGGAAGGCTGAAAATAAGAGGATCACTATGAGTCCAAGCTGCATAGTAAGACCCTGTACCAAACAGAGAGAGAAGAGAGAGAAGAGAAAGAGGAGAGAGGAGAGGAGAGGAGAGGAGAGGAGAGGAGAGGAGAGAGAGAGAGAGAGAGAGAGAGAGAGAGAGAGAGAGAGAGAACGTTAGGCATGTAAAAAGAAAGGAGTAGATGTTAACCTCTGAACAAGTTAACTAGGAGAATGTTTGGGAAGCGGAATAAATAAAGGAAATAAATCAATAATAAATTCTCTTGGGTTATTGGGATAGAGATTTGTAAGAGGGAAATGATCAATGATAACACTAAAAAAGCACCCTGAGTCCTTCATAAGAAATGAGTTACTTCAAAGGATTTATATTTTCTGAGAATTTGCATTATAGAACTGAGGCACCCAATTAGAAGGATTCTTTTTTTTTTCCCTTTGGCTGGCTCAGGCTGCCTTAAGGGAGGGTCTGGTGTGGCATGTGGTGCTGGGGACTGAACTGAAGTCCCTTGTCCCTGACTGATTTTGCTCAAGAAGGTGCTTTAGACAACGGAGCCAGCTGGCCAGCCCCAGGAACCCCATTAGAAGAAACAATACATGTATAACGTTTTTCATTTCCCTGCCGCCCATCACAGGGTGAGGAAGACATAAGCTTGCTGCAATAAGCTGTCAGGTGATGCATGAACCTGGAAACAGTATGTCCCCTAAGGAGGGTTTAAATAAATTACTGAATAATGAAGTAACAACACATACAGGCAGTTGTGTTTTCTATTTGAGTTTCTATATAGCTAGGTGGATAGTGTTCATTTTCTTTTAAATGCTTATACTGGAGGGGAAACGGGGGGGGGGGGTGGGGAGGGATAAAAAAGGGAAAAAAATAGAAAAAAGGAAACAAAGCTTTTGTAAATAAAGAGGAGGAAAGAGGGTGTCTTAGTTACTCTTCTCTCGTTGCTGGGACAAATACCCAACAGCCAAATAGAAGGAAGGAAAGGTTTATTTGGCTCACAGTTACTGGAGGTTTCGGTCTATACTCAGCTGGCTCCAAGGCAGCCTGGCATATGGCAGAGAGCAACCTCTCTTGGAGGCAGCAAAGAGCAAGAGCGCAAAAGGAGTAGCAGTAGCTCAAGCAGCTAGCTTCTCTCCTCTCCTTACACTGAAATGCAAATTACCTGCCCTAGGGCAGGTGCAGCATCCACACCCACAATAATCAATCATAAACTCCAGAAGTCACCCCAAGACTGCATGAGGCTTTGGGGTAACAACTATACACAAACCATAACAGAGAGATTGAAGGGGGAGGGGAATGGGAAAAAAATAAGCAAGATATGTACAAATTCCTTATGGTGAATGTGATCATTATGTATATCTAACATGTACCAATAAAATTCATTTTAAAAATAAATTATGTGCATAAAACAAAAAATGCCTGTGTACCACTAAAAAGAGTATGTAACCCCCCAATTTTTTCCCTTTTGTTTTGGAGACAGAATATCATTATATAGTTCAGGTTGGCACTGAACTTACTATGTCATCTTTCTTGGCTTTGAACTAAGGGTGATCCTTCTGCCTCAGCCTGCAAGACCTGGGATTATAGGAGAGCAAGAATTATAGGTGTGCATGACCACGCCCAGCTCATCATCCAACAATTTTGAACAGTGGTCACTGTCTCCTTTGAGCTCAAGTGTCTCTCCTGCATCTATACTTTCTTTCCACACAGAATTAGTAGCCCCCTAAGAACCTTGACTGAGACTTACGGTCCTACACAGTGCTACATGTGGAGCTATTTAGCTAGGCAATAAACAACCATCTTGCGAGAGTAACATTTCAACTGTAAAAAACTAATATTCCACAAAGATGAAGCTTTCAACTTGTCTTCAGAAACAATAATCTTAGTCTTCCACGGCCATCAAGCCCAAGGGGGCCCTACCAGTGGGCTGCATCAAGCTCAGGACCTTCACATGCCAGGCAGGCAATGTGCCACTGAGCATTATCTCTGGCCCCCAGCTCTTTCATCTTTAAGACAGGGACTAGCTGTCCCAGACTAGCCTTGAATTTGTGATTCTTCTGATTAAGGCCCCCAAGTAGTGGGAATTATAGGTATGCACCACTGTACCTGGCTTTAATTTTCTTTTTTTAAATTGTATTTATTTAT